GTGTGGCCCAAACTCAGGGAAGCAGGCTTATGGTTGAGTTTCAGTTTTCCCCTTGGTCTTAGTGCTCAACGATTGTCTGTGTACTGTAGCGTAACATTGTTTTTATGCTACAGTGCAGGGGACCAAAATGGACTTTTGAAAAAGTGCAGGGGACATGTCACCCGTGTACCCCCCCCAAATTACATCCGTGTGACATATCACTGTCTGGCTGCAGCCTGTAACTGTGTCTGAAAACTCTCATACATATTTTGAGCTCCATCTACACAGATTTTAGTAACCATGCATATGAAACTTAGTTTATAAAATGTGGCTGTAGAAAAAGTGGTTATTCATCGTAGTAGGGTGGGACAGTGTACTAGCAACAGGTATGTCCCGTTGGAGATTGGGATAAGCAACAAGAGTAAATTGCATTATTAAACTCTTAAGATCTATTTTCCAGGATTGTTTAATGTTATGTATTTTTTGTCTTTGGTATTTTTTTACCACATTAAGTTTTATGGATCCAGATTTGCCAGTCATCATTGTGAGTAGTTAGACCAAATTAATCAAAAATAAAGATAAAATATCTAGTAATACCTTTTAACCTCCTGGGTTCAAGTCACTGATTAAATCTCCCATTCCTTGAGTTTGTATTATAAAAAGTGTAGTCAATAATGGCCTGAGGCTCCTAACTCATCTAATCCCTAATCCAAGGTCTGTGGAATTAATAGATAGCATTGGTGCTGCTGCTGTGGATTAAATGTGATGGATGAGTGGGTGGACACAGAAAAAAGATGGACATGTAGATGCAGGAAATGGATATAAATCATTAAAGAATGTACTGTATATCAGAAGAATTTCAATTATTTATGTGACTGAAATGAACAATATGCTTGATTAGTAAATGAATGGCATTTATTCTGAATAATAACGATGCAGGATACAGATCATAAACAGAGGTTGTATTGTAAAATGAATAGATGGCTAAATTGATAAGTACTGCTATGAGGAACCTCTCATTATCACTACTCCTGCAGAGTTGCAGGTGGACATTTGACCAGTTTTTGCATAAAGAACTTGCAACAGCTATTATTCAGTGATGCAACCAATGGGTTGCAGGAACTCTACTTTTCATGAATATGATCTTACAGATATTCTGTTAGAAGGATTTGGGAAATTAATTTAAATAGACTTTGTGTACATTTTTATTGAAAAATATCTTTAAAATCCTTTTTATTTGATCCTTAATGACTAAAACATAATTTGATGAGCAGACTGACACCTCAGTAGTTGGGCGCCGATGCATCTGCACCTGTCTATCAGCTCAATGATCTTGGAGCTGATGTCTGGTCTGATAATTCATTTCATTAACCTGCCTATCTCAGCCCAGTTTTCAGGATCGATCCACCTGCTTCAATGCCTATTTAATCAGCCTTCAACCAATCATCAGTGCCAGATTATACGAGCCTTTGGTTAGAGTTCTCTAGCATTCCTGTATGTTCTGATTGCCTGTTTTTGACCCGTTCTGCCTCTTGACTTCTGAGGCTGCCCTTATTGACATCACCCTTCTTTATATGTAACAAAAGTATATTAAAAACCCCTGATGTTTAGGGATACTGAGGATAGTGCTTATTGAGGAAGATTTGTAGTCCTAATCTGAACATTCTCTAAAAAAAACTTTTTTATTGGAATTCCTTTTGATGTAAGAACCCTATCATGGATTGTGCAGGACTGAGGCAGAAATATGCTGTTGGAAAGAACATGTCAATGGCTATTTTTTGTTAGTACAAAAAAAATACAACACACA